TCTGCTTGATTAGAGTTGTAATTTATAGTTATTAATCCACTATTTCTTGAAGACTTTGCTTTCTCTTCAATCTTACGTTTTACTGTATGTTGCAGATGCCAAGAACATAGTTGCACTACCAAAGCACCCACACTTTGGATATCGTGTTAATTTCTGCAAAGTCTTTATCGGTAAATACAAAACTTGAATTTACATTATATAACTTTATAGCTTCTATAAACTTTTTTAATATATTGGTACACTTTCTTGTAATATTGCTTGTATTTTTTGTTTTTGTTATATCTATTACGAGATAGGCGATGAGGAATCCATCTTCCTCAATATTAGCAACAATACTATAAAGCTCATATCACCCACATGCTGTTTTATAAGTAGCGTCGATATATATTTTAGTTATGCTAATATTAAGATTGTTAATTTTCTTTAGCATAGAGGTAACAAAGGCAAGGACTGTGAACTCTGCATCTTGTATCTTTAAGCACTTATGAAAATCTTGATTACTGTGCTCATTAAGTAGTTTGCAACTAGATTTAAATAGGTTGCTATGATGCTGATACCTATTTTGCCTGCTATAGACTTCTAGTAGTGTATATATTTACGTGAGTATTTGGACATATCAACCCTTTGCATTGCAAATGGTTCATTAATTGAGCTGTAGTAAAGTGTGCGCATAACCTAATCTCTTCTAATAGTTTGTCTGACATCTCAATACAAAGGTTCGGGCATGGATGAAGATATCTATAGCATATATCTATCTTTATAATACCAAGAACTGTGTCAACTCATATTACGATTTTCCTTTACAGTTATAATGTATATATTATTTTCTGTTGGAATCTTTATATTCTTCACTTTGGGCCTCCTTAGACTGACAACATAAATATGTGAATCTGAAAATAGTCTCTTCAAACTTTTTAGATACATCCACTTCTTGATATCTATGGTTATGGAGAAATGTGAAGAGAAGAAAGGAGAAGAAAAGATAGCAATAGGTTTTTTAATAATAATTAAAGTGTATTGGGATGGAGTAGTGATACAAATCAATAAAAAATCTTCAATCGATTAGTTGACTAATCGATTGACCAACTAATCGATTAGTTGAAGAAACAAAACTTAGTAAAATATACGTAAGGTAGCAACTAAAACGGACGAGTTGATATTTAGTTGATTAATCGATTAGTCAGCTAATTGATTAATGACTAAGTTGGGTCTGTAAAATTTAAATCGATTAGTTGTCAACTAATCGATTAATTCAATTTTCAATTTGTATTACTAAAATGGAGTTTAAATTTTGAATTTTTGAATTTTGAAAATTTCAGTTTATATTTTTGAATTTGAATTTAAAATTCAAATTCAAAAATAAAAACTAAAATTTCTTATTTTTTTTAAATTAACCATAACAAATTATATTTACATCCATATATAATTATCCTCTTCTTCAATTTCAATAATAACAAGCTTAGCTATTTCTTTTGCTATCATGTTTTGATCATCTATATTTATATTTACTAATAGGTGTATTTGATAATCTATATCGGCTACTTCATTAGTGCTTACACTTGCTGTTAGCTCTTAAATCTTATATGCGACAAAGTCCCCTACTTCAAGACAATTGATTTCAACATATGCATTATTATCAACATATTCAATTTCTTGATTATTAGTTTCAGGTTGAGTAATTGATTCAGTATTGGTAGAAAATTGTGCAACTGATTCAACATTGGTAGGATTTGTAGTTTTTGTTAAAGAACTTTGATTTTTCTTTTTTCTTCTGCCGTGTCTTTCTTTACATTTTATACATATCAAATATCTAATACTATTCCAAATAAACATTTCTTTAGGACGCTTGGTACCACACTTGCTGCACTTCTCTTTATTACAATTAAGGCATATCAGATATCTAATACCATCCCAAACAAATATTTCATTAGGATACGAGTTTTCACATTTATTACACTCTTTTATTTTAATTATAGGCTGATTTATGAATTATAATTAATTTTTTTATAAGAACCTCAAGATTTTTGCTACTCGAATATTTCTTGATATCCATAGCAAGATAAGTATTATATTTATATAAAATAATTAAAATGAAGAATTCAATAACAATTGTGCTATGGTTTATAAAATAATTATCTAGGGTAATAAAAGAAGTTTTATAATATTTTCAAGATAAATATTCATGAAACTGATCTAGAAATAATTGCAAGTTTTCATGTCTCAGGATTTTGACACAATATAATTTTATTTTAATCATATATGAGAAAAAAAGGAAAAGTACTTTAGAACAAACTTTATAGTATGTCTATGTTAAAATAATCATTTACAATATTAAGGTCACAATGTAATATATTTTTATTTGAATCTGAAGAGAAAAAGAAACACTTTAGAACATAATTTAATCGTTACTGTTTCGATTCGAACTAATGGACTACTAAAGATTTAAGCATTTTGATATTTATTTTTTTATCTATTTATTTTTTTATGATTTTATCAAAATTTATATATATTTTTTTTAAATCGCAAATACAGATTGATTTGATGTATATTAGAAAATCTTTTAAGCTAATAAGTAACGATCACTAACAATTAATTGATTATTATCGATTAAATTTAATTGATAATAATTGATGATGGTGTTGATAATCAATTTAAATAAAATTGATAATAATCGATTATAATCAACATATACAAAAAAATTTAATTAAATGCGATTTAAAATATCAATTATAATTAATATTTTTCATTTACTATCAATTATAATTGATAAAAGTTTGCTTCAATTTTAATCAATGGTATTGATGAAAATCAGTTGAAATTCTTAGATTTTAATCGATTTTAATCAGCTTTTAAAATTTCCTGATATATATAGAACTCAAATATAGAAATAGGGTATGAATAAGTAATTGATATTCAAGATCCTTTATATAGATACAGTAATAAAGGAAAGAACAATAGCACTAATGAGTTATTAATGATTATTTTTATTTAATAAGCAACAATGTATTGTATTATTTTATTTAATAAGCAGAAATTAATAACAATATATTTTATTTTAAAAAAAAAATTAACAATGTATTTATTAAAAAGAATAGCTAACAATATATTTAATAAATTAAAAATATCGAATAAAAGATATAAAACTCCAGACAAAAGTACTTAGTGTGCCGAATATAACTATAGAATTCATTTAATGAATATATTGTTCTGATTCTCGTAAAACCAAATAAATTATTTATATATTTGCTTTAATCTCCAGCCCAAATTTTATACAGTAAAAAAAAGCTCAAAAAACAAATATGGAATAAAATAAAAATATTAAAGTACTTATAAAATGAATAAATCAATCACACAG